GTATGCGAGGATTTCACCCCTCGACAGTGTTGTGCCTGTCTCTTATACACATCTAGATGTGTATAAGAGACAGGTGTGTGCGTGCATGTGCGTGTGGGTGGGGTGTGTGAAATCAGACTGCACTCCAAACTTGTTCACAACATGCATACACGCAACTGATGGCAAACCAAACTCTTTCAACTCAGAATCAACATCAAACTTGCACTTAAACTTTGTTCAAGTCAACTGTACAACTAAGTCAACTGTACAACTCGCGGCTATGGCCGCCGAACACTGTCTCCACCACCAGCCTCACTCTCCCTCATGCACGCATGTACGAGGATCTACCCTGAATGTCCACGCTACACAGACAAACACTCTGTACACTGTCTGTGACAACAGCTGGGCAGCTATGGCCACCGTCATCTTCCTCCTCCTAGCTATGGCTGCCGTCGTCTTCCTCCTGGCCAGCTATGGCCGTCGTCTTCCTCACTGCCCACTTGCGCTCCGGGCACCTGCAGACCTCCACGCACACGTCACCATCCGCATGGCTCGCAGGAGAATGAATGAATTGCGGGACGCTGCCTCTTTATTTGTACTTCTTCGGAGGTGGTCGGGCCCTGCCTCAAAACGCGTGGGCCTGACCACTTACCACATGGGCCCCGGGTCTGGAATCTTCCAGGCCGCGTAGGCCTGGTAGGCCCAAAACACGTGGGCCTTCTGGGCCAAAATGCGTGGGTTGCTGGGCCCCAAGACGTGTGTTCCGGACCCTTCTGCATACCGCGTGCCCAGAGCCTTCCCCCACGTGCAGCCCTTCCCTGATACTTGCTGACAATGCAGGGACCTACAGTTGCAATGACTTGCTGATTCCGACTGCCAAGACTAACTGCGAGGCTGTATAGTACAACAGTAGGATAGATTCGTAATTTTGTTTGGCTGAGGGCTAACTGAGAGACCTACCTGTAAGGAAATTCGTGAGGGACATATCTGCAAATATGGGAAAATGGGCCCAGCAGTACTTCGATTTTCCTACAGCTATCCTCACTGCGTTTAGCAGGCCTGGGCTACCCCTAGGACAGACAGGCCCTAAGGGCCTAAGCTGATAGACGGTCCTATAGCCTGTAGCCGGGTCCGGTAGAGGTCGAGAGGCCGAAACCAAAACAGTACCGGTCGGTCAGTCAGTCCGGTCTAGGTCTAGGCTAGAGTAGTAGAGTCTATTAATAGTTTGGGGGAATCGGGTCGGGACTTTTTGGCAGTTCATTTTCGCAATACAGCGTTTGGAGCCAGGGAGGTTTTGCAGCGGCGATTGTCTTCAGGCGGTACCCTGAGACCCTCACCGTGGACGACAGCCATAGCCAGCCTGTTGAGGGCTTGCCATAGCTGGGGCATCCCCTGCGCATCAACCCCTGTGGGTTCTGCGATTGGCTGGGCTGTGTGGAGACTCCTCACTGAGTCTATGAGGGTGGCGGCAGCCATAGCTGCCGGTTCTTCGTCAGAGTTGTTCAGCGGCACTGAAGACTTCATCGCAGGATCTGTTCTTCATCTGGGTGGTTGGCGCTGGCCTCTGGGAGGCTATTCTCATGTGGCCCTACTAACTGGGTGTAGGGTAGAGAGTGGAGGGTGAGGTTCTGAGAGTGGCGAGATACTGGAACAAACTCTGTAACGATTTCTGGTTAATTGGCTCATCATTAGTGTGTATTCCAATTGTTATCCTCGCAGGTTCTTCTTGTGATTGGTTGTTGGGAGTATCGTTAGAGAGTGAGAAACACTGTCTTTCTTCTTCCCATCTGTGCATGGCTGTGCTTCCGCTATCTACTCTGATCTGTGTGCAGTGTGAACTCTGTCTCCTCTCCCCCTTCTCTTATGCATGTATGGGCGTGTATGAGACTGTCTGTGTGTGAGTGGCGATAAAAAAATGTCAGACAACCGAGTTCATAACAGTTGGTATCGGAGTGGGATTGGAATTGGAGCACTGAGGGTTGAGTGCAACGGGCATCTTCTTCATCTGGCAACATACTGGCGAGAGCTTCATGGCAATTCATCTTCCCCAGTACTGAGTCAGCAGGGAAGAAGACTTCAAGCAGTGGATTCAGGAGATCAGTGCTTGCACTGAGCAAGCGCACTGAGCCTGTCAGGGCGCTTGTCTGAAAGTGGCGAGAACAGGGTCAATTCGCCATAGCCAACCCTGAGCGTAGAGTTGTGAAGTACTCCAGAGTGGCGAAGTACCCCTGAAGACTTCAGGGATTACTGAGCGGCTTCATCCCTGAGAAGCACTGAGGGAGATTGACAGTCTGTGTCAATCTCAGGAAGAAATAACCCCATCTGGGGCTATTGTAATAACCCTGTTCAGAAGTAGCCTGGGGCTCAGAACACAGCCCCAGGAAACGCAGATCTGAGTAGATCTGCGCTGGGCTGTGTGACCAAGGCATGCCCAGGCCTGAGTCTGTCGAGTGTGGCTGTGTGACCGAAGGCTTCACTTAGGAAATTCAAGAGTCAAAGTCAACTATAGAGTCAAAGGTACCGCACCCAGGCCCTTGGTTGGATACACTCACTTGTTGTGCGCAGGTACCCAGACAGCATCCAGGGCAGAGGGAGTTTGGTTTCAGGCCGATCTGGGCCCTCGTTCGCATCGAGATCTGGACGGCTGAGGGATACAGCATCCGGGGGCCAGACCCCTCGTCAACACTACATAAGAGCTGACTCCCTGGCTTTGACATTCATTATGTCTTGCGTTGATGCTGACTTCACGCGTTGACTTCAACGCTGGCTCGACGCTGCGGCGCTGGCTCGATGCTGCTGGCATTGTGACTTGGCGAGGCGCTGCTTGTCTGGCATGGTGGCCGGCTTGCTCCTGTCTTCTTGGCATGCTGACGTGGCAGCTGCCATGCGCTATCGCTGATGTGGCTGCTGCCACGTGTATNTGTCTGGCATGGTGGCCGGCTTGCTCCTGTCTTCTTGGCATGCTGACGTGGCAGCTGCCATGCGCTATCGCTGATGTGGCTGCTGCCACGTGTATAATTGGCTGACATGGCTGCTGCCACGTATTCTATGACTGGGACTACGTAATCGACTTGCTGTTCTGTTTTGTCGTCGCTTCAGGAGGAGATCAGGACTGTGGAGAGTTCGAGGATGCGTACCTGATGGTCTTCATGTCGACATTGCTCCAGATGCTGATGTGGAACTGATTAGACGTGCCACATGGCACATTGAGGATACTCGGATACTCGTTCAGACTATTGATTGTCGAGGTGGCAGTGGAGGGGGGAGCCCGAAGCAGGAGAGGGCATTATACTTCCTTTCCTTTGTCTCTTCTCCCTCCTCTTTCTTCGTCTGTGTATGATATCTCACCTCATTCTGTCTGGTTACGATTTGGACTTTAGTAGTCATCAGCCGATGGACAATTATCTGGGCTTGCATTGTTGACAATTGTCTCACGATCTGGGTTCATTGCAATTTGGTATCGGAGGTGTTCTCCTGACGACGGCACTTGTATGTGGATACGCGCCAGGTGGCGCGCAGGTAAGTAAGGTTGAGTAGGTGATGACGTGGCGAGGGATACGTCAAGGGTGTTGACGTAGCACATACCTTATTGGCGAGAAGACATTGTCGGGGTTCGCTGACGAAGTACAGATTCACTGGCGAGAAGACCTGTGCAACTGACAAAGTACAGACTTCTCTGGCGAGAAGACATCCCTACCAGGCTGCTCACGTGGCAGTAGGGATCGCACCAAGGGATACCGCACGCCAGCCAGGATCGCGATAGTGACGTGGCATCGCGATCCCATGCTGACGTGGCACACATCGTGCTGCGTCCGAAGACCCTCTTGATTGCTGATGTGGCACTCTTTGTGCTGCTGACACGACAGAGTCTACTGTAGATGCTGACGTGGCCTGGAGGAAAGATTAATTGCTGACGTGGCAGGAGCATGTCATCACACCTATCTCATGAGGTGGTGTCTACCTGTTGAC